GAGGGAGAGGGGAGGGGCAGAGGGAAGGCTGCCAGGGAGGGGGGAGGGGAGTCTACTGAAGGAGGGGCAGAGAACCGGTTGGAGGAGGAGCAGAGAAGTGCAAAAATCGGGGAGTGTCCTGACCTATTGTGGGGGTGTCCTAGCCTAGTTAGTCCTATGGGGGTTGTGTGTGGCTTTGAGGTAGGGGTTTAGGGAAGGGAAGTTAGAGTCATTTACTACCTCTGCAAGGACTCTGTTCAACAGCCCCCCCATCCCTAAAATGACACTACTCTCCAAGGGTGACTTCTGTTTGACCAGCTCTTGCTGTGATGGCTGGAGGTCCACGTGAAGTTTCCAGTTCCCCACCTGGGTCTCCCATGCTCTATCCAGAGAACCAAGTGGTCCCTGTACTAAAGACACAGTAGGTGATAAGTGTCTGCTCAGGGCCTTGGGGATAGTTCTAGAGACTTGACAGGCAGGTGCAGGGACTGATGTGTATAGCTAACCAGTGTTTGCAGAAGGCTCATGTCATTGGGTACCCATCTTCATAGGCTCTGCTCCAAATGCAGTTTCCCCTGACTTCCCTCACCTTTGCCTGGGATGTCACTTTGGTGCTCTTGGGGAATAGCTGAGGTCTAGGTGGAGGCTGACAGGAAGAGTCTGAACAGGGCTGTCTTTTTAGGGTCTAGCCTGATCACCTAGGAGAGCCACTCCTGGTGGCCATGAGAGAGACCCTGGAGGCCCTGAACTCCTTGGGTAAGTGGGAACAAAGGGACCAGGAGGGTGGAAGTTATTAGGCATACGTGGTGTAGCAATGCCATCCTCAGGAGTTTACAACCCTGAGCCCTTGGGGTCTGGAGAGACAGACATCTTTTTAGCTAACCATCATATGTCTCTGATCAGGCCAGGATGGTTATACTGGCCTGTCTGTATGCACAGGATTCACACAGGACTGGAAGCTAGAAACAACGAAAAACCTACCACATTTACATATTTATTTATTGTGTTTCTCTTTATTATATACACATGTATGGAGATGATAACAATTTTCTGAGTCTGTTATCTCCTGCCATGTGAGTTTTGGAAAGCAAATGCAGATCAATAGGTTTGGTGGCAATTACCTATACCCACTGAGCCAAAACCCAGCATTGGGTTTTAAATTTTTTCTAGTTCAAAATATTCAATTCCCCCCCCCATTAAAGTGGGGAAAAAAACCGTGAGGTTAACAACTGGCCAGGCTGTTGGGGAGTTTGGGCAGTCCTTTGTCCATGTAGACGGGAGAGATCCCCTTTCCCAAGCCAGCTGGGGAAATGCCCCATCTATGATACCACTTCAATACTGGAAGTTTCATTTGACCTCATCCGTCTGCCTATAACAGGATTCTCAGTGGGACAGCCCGAGATGGCTCCCCAAAGTGAGCCCAGGGATGGGTTCAATAATGCCCAGGGGAAGATGTCATCTAGGGAGGAGAGCACACTGCACTCATGCTCAGGTAAGTGGGGACAATGGAAGTCTCAGGAAAGAATATCCCTTCTTCCACAAGCCATCTATTAGGCACCTACTCTGTGCTGGATGCTATTCTGGACATTTGGAACACCTTAGGCACTAAATAGACCTAGGTCCCTCCCTTCATGGAGCTTAACAAGAAATGTAAACTTGGTTAAAGTTATAAACTACCTTAGAAGATGGAAAAGGCTGTAGGAGGGATAAAGCAAAAGGAGAGGGACCCAGATGGTGGCTGGTGGGATGGGGCAGGAATGCCTAAGGCAAGATCTAACCTCACTTCTCACTGTTCTCCTCATGCTTCTCCTGGGAACTGGGAGGCCTAACTGCTCAGGTTGGAGGTCTTTTCTTACTTCCACCTCCTCATAAAACACACAGTCCAGAAATTCCTCACAATTGTGGCTCTTGTCTATCCATAGCACCTGCTATGGGACTTTGCCTTTGCAGGTATGACACAGGATAGAGCTCTTTAGGTGGGTGGGGGTGAGGGTTCAGGCTTGCTTCCTAGTACCAATGGGGACTATCTTCCTTCTGTGATGTTTCGGGAGTCCTTGGGGCATCCTCTTCTCTTCCAGGGCATGAGACCCCTTGCCAGAAAGAAGGCATGCACATGGAACAAGCTGAAGCTCCTTGCATGGGCAGCCAGGCCTGTACTCCACAGAAGGCCGAGCCTGTGGGCTCTGTCCCAGGTGAGTCTTCCTGATGGAACAGGGACCAGGCAGGTTCCAGAGCTTCTCTCTGAGGAGATGGCTGTGCTCCAGGCCCTGTCCCCTTTCCTCTGTAGACCTTCAGAGCTCCAAAGGAATTTCAATTTCACATCTGTGGACAGTAGAATGGGAGCAGAGGGTACCAAAGGGAAGTACATCTCATTTTAATCCACTTCTAGAAGTCCCAACTTCTCTTGCCATCTCCCCAGTTCATACATGCTGTTGCTCTCTTGGATTGTAATGGCCATAAAGATACAGGGGGCTCATGAGCTTGTTTGCTGCCTCTACTGTGTATGCTCCGTTTCCCAAACCTCTGCTGGTCTTCCTGATACCAAGGGTCCCCAGTCTATAGTCCTTCCCCCGAGTCTGTAGTCATCTCTCCTGTACCTCAGGCAATTACTCCATGGCCCTACCTATCACTTCTTAAAATCATCACCACTTGCGTGTATGGCATCACTTACCCAACAAGGATTTATTTAGTGCCTGCTGCACAAAGGTATTGAGTGTAGAGGGGAAAGACAGGGCGTCTAGCTGCATAGACCTGGTTTGCACCCTTGTTCTACATTGACCTGCTGAGTGCTCTTGGGTAAGGTGTGTGTGTGTGGCGGGGGGGGGGGTGCTGTGTTCCCTCCAGGTTTGTTCACTCATCATCAGAGTAGTATGGCTGCTATGAAGCTTTATAACACTGCATGCACACTGCCTGCCTCATCCATGGTTGGCCTCAAATAAATGGTCACAGAGCTGATTTTTGTCAGACACATAAAGACACTTTGTTATTGGACACAAAATTAGAATTCAAGATGTCTCCCATCCCGAAGTTAAAATGTAGCTGGGATGCTGTTACAGTGAGGCAGAACAAATAATTAAATCAACAATACACAGTCACTGGTTTTTAATTAAGCACAGAAGCTAATATTAACGGTAATTGCTATAGGAATTTAAGGTAAAGGAGCCCTATGTGCTGGACCTGTCTAAGTGTTGCTTTGTGTACAGCACTGTGAGAGAAGCGAAGATTTCAGCTGCTGCAGTCAGGTGGGGGAGGTGGAGGCATTCTTGGTTGAGAAAAGGCTTCCAGGCTGGAAGCAAGAAAGGTGATATGTGACAGGTTGAAGAGCAGCATAGTGAAAGACAAAGCCTCACACCTGGGTGAGGGAAGCTGGGGTGGGTGTGTGGGAGCTTGGTGCAGCTAGAAGCTATGGCTGATTCTCCAGCAGAGAATGGCATGAAGAAGAGACAAGTGACATAAGAGGATAAGCAGACAGTGATTTGGAACCAGTGAGTTAGAAACTGGGAGTGAATGTAATCTGTATGTAATATGATCAAGGCTCAGGCTATGACAGGCTTTCAGGGCCAGACAACACTCAGATCATGTGGCTCAACAGTTCCCCGGCAAGATTCACTGGTGCTGGTGGGGGTGGGGGTTTTAAAGGAAGGGGACAGATTCCTCTGCATGCATGAATGCATTTTGTGAGATTTCCCTAGCAGCTTGAATCTGCCCTTGGGCTGAGACTCCCCTTGAGGTCTCTCCAAGCTTCTCCCAGGAGTGGATCACTCACCAGTCCCCCAGCCAGCAAGCTGCAGTCTGTCTCCTCTTCCTTGAGCCTTGATGCTGTAAACCCCAGCCTCTTTCATAATGGGACTCCCAGTCCACCGTAGCAGGAGGAGGGGAGCTGGGTGGTAGGCGCCTGAGGGACTGCAGCAGTAGAGGGAGCATCTGAGGAGGCAAGAGAGAAGCACAGGGCTGCCCTGGTGCTTAGGGAGGAAGCAAAGGAGGAGACACCAAGGTTCCAAGGGCATCCTGTCTCCTAAGGTTACAGTTAGATGTCGAGTAGGCCCGTGAAGGTCAGGGTTTGGTTTTCACCAAACTATAGCCAGTTTGAAGGACACTCAAGAAGGGCTGCTGAGCTGGAGATGAGAAACTGCTTCTGGGAAACCTGCCTCAGGGTGGTGGAAGCTCAGAGAATGCTTGAGGACAGGGGTGGGCAGCAGTGCTGTTCTGGGGGGAGCAGGGGGGGTGTCTATTCAGGATTCAAGAGGGCACAGAAAGAGGACGAGAGAGGACTTTGGGGTTTACTGAGTCCCAGGAAACCTTGTGTGGGGTACAAAGAGGAGCCAGACTGCAGGGATACTGAACTGAGGAGCCTACTGGGAAATGAATGTGCCCATGGATGGGCTTTCAAACAATTCTTTTCTTTCTTTTTTTTTTTTTTTTTTTTTTTTTTTTTTTGTGTTGTGTTCAGGGGAGGAGTGGATGATTCGGAAGGTGAAGGTAGAGGATGAGGATCAGGAGGCAGAGGAGGAGGTGGAATGGCCCCAGCATCTCTCCTTCCTACCCAGTCCTTTTCCCGCTCCTGACTTGGGTCACCTGGCTGTTTCATACAAACTGGAGCCAGGGACTCCGGGGGCTCTAGGTGGGCTCGCGCTGTCTGGGTGGGCCCCTATCCCTGAAAAGCCTTATGGCTGCGAGGAATGTGAGCGGCGTTTCCGGGATCAGCTAACTCTGCGACTGCACCAGAGGTTGCACCGGGGCGAGGGCCCCTGTGCCTGCCCCGATTGCGGCCGCAGTTTCACGCAGCGTGCCCATATGCTTCTGCACCAACGCAGTCACCGCGGAGAGCGTCCCTTCCCGTGCTCCGAGTGTGATAAGCGTTTCAGCAAGAAGGCCCACCTGACCCGCCACCTGCGCACGCACACAGGCGAGCGGCCCTACCCGTGCGCCGAGTGCGGCAAACGCTTCAGCCAGAAGATCCACCTAGGCTCGCACCAGAAGACCCACACCGGAGAACGGCCCTTTCCCTGCACTGAATGCGAGAAGCGTTTCCGCAAGAAGACGCATCTGATCCGCCACCAGCGCATCCATACCGGCGAGAGGCCCTACCAGTGCGCCCAGTGCACACGCAGCTTCACGCATAAGCAACACCTGGTGCGGCACCAGAGGGTGCACGATGCTGCTAGCCGCACCCGGTCCTCTCCCGACGCTCCTGCCTCTCCCCATCCTCCCGCCCCATCCCCTCCGGGGCCCAAGCCTTTCGCTTGTTCCCACTGTGGCCTGAGCTTTGGCTGGAAAAAGAACCTCGCTACGCACCAGAGTCTGCATCTCACCGAGGGTCGCCCTTTTGGGTGCGATGAGTGTGCACTGGGCGCCACCGTAGATCCCAGCGCCACGGAGCCGTCAGCTTGTGCTCCCCACGCTCCTGACTGTGACCCGGGTTCGGGACCCGCGGCTCCCCAGCGCACCACCTCCGGTGAGCGCTCCTTCTTCTGCCCCGACTGCGGGCGCGGCTTCGCACACGGGCAGCACCTGGCCCGGCATCGGCGCGTGCACACGGGCGAAAGGCCCTTCGCCTGCGCGCAGTGTGGCCGCCGCTTCAGTCGCAAATCTCACCTAGGCCGCCACCAGGCAGTTCACACGGGCAGCCGCCCCTACGCTTGTGCTGTCTGTGCCCGGTGCTTCAGCTCCAAAACCAACCTGGTCCGCCACCAAGCAATCCATACGGGCTCCCGCCCCTTCTCCTGTTCCCAGTGCGCCAAGAGCTTCAGCCGCAAGACCCACCTTGTGCGACACCAACGTATCCATGGCGAAGCGACCCTCCCAGCCTCAGCCTCCAGCCTCTCAGCTCCAGCCTGGCCCAGTTCTTCCGAGGTTGTGACGCCTCCAATCTTCTTCTAAGCGGAGTTCTGACCCATGTCCTTCCTTTTCTCATATTTGGGAGACTCATGCCCAGAGACTTCACGGGCTTTCAACACCCAGACTTAGGTTGCTGGTGAAGTACCAGGACACGCGTCATTGACCTTTCCATAAAGTTAAGAACTGCGAAAAACACACTTAGCTCTTGACAGCCATGATAAAAAACATGGAGAGAAGAACCCTTACGTTGGAAGTCGGGCATTTCTGGGGATCAGCTAGATCAAGGGGAGACTGAGCAGGAAACGGCTACCTAAAGGGAAAGAATAGTTATTTATGTACTTGAAGTTCATTAAAGTTCAAATCTGAAGTTCTGGAACTGTTAACTGAGCCAGGGGTGGAAAGCCTGGTTTGTCCCCTTACTGCCACCTCCAGCCACCTCCTGTCAGTCCATGGAAGTTGAGCTCAGCTGGCTGGCTTGTTCTTCCTAATCAATGTGTAATATGCCAAATGCCAAACAATTGCCCTGGTTCTGTGTGTGTGTGTGTGTGTAGCTCAGAAATTTGGCATGGGAGGAGAAACTGAGGACTGGAGCAGGCAGAGGGGGCAGGCTGACTTTTGCCTCTTCTCATGGGCCCAGCATTAGGTGCAGGGCTCTGTACCGCCTGTTTGAAGCCCTTCAAGAAGCTTCCCAGAGGGCCCTCACCTGCACCTGCCTAGGAGGTGTGAAAGGAGGCAGCATTTGAACAGGCCATAAAGGTTGTTTCTATATCACACTTTCCAGCAGTTCTGGTGAGGAGTGCTTGAGTCTGGAGGTGCTGCAACTGTACACACCCAAGTTGGGCAGACAGAAGCCCTGGGACTGGTGAGGGGAGTAGCAGGGGTGGGCGGCGGGGATAAGTTTGGAGAGAACTATTCCTCTGCCTCATGGGGTACTTGGAAGGAATCCATTATTCTCCCAGAACTTAGTTTCTCATTAAAATGAAAGTTGGTGTTGTCAAGTACTGAGACCCCTTTCTATCCTATTAACAGATTACCAACACCATCCCAGGCATCTGTCTCCTGGGTGCTAAGAACTGGCACTGATAACTGGGAGCCAGTGTAGTAAGGACCCTTCCACCACAGCTCAAGTAAGGCCTCCTGGTCTGCATTGCTGTTGCTGTGATAAAACACTGACCAAAAAGCACCTTGGGCAGGAAAGGGTTATTTGTTTTATACTTTTGAGTCACAGTCCACCATTCAGGGAAATCAAGAACTGAAGCAGAGACCAAGGAAGAACACTGCTTATTGGCCTGTTCTCATTGACTTGTTCAGTTTGCTCTCTTATAAAAACAAAACAAAACAAAACAAAACAAAAAACACAAACAAACAAACAAACAAATCCAGGACCTGGGCTGAAGAGATGGCTCAGCCATTGAAGGCTAGGCTCACAACCAAAAAATATAAAAAACCCAGGACTGCTGGGCAGTGGTGGCACACACCTTTAACCACAGCACTCAAGAGGCAGAGACAGGTGGATCTCTGTGAGTTCAAGGCCAGCCTGGTCTACTGAGCGAGTTCCAGGACAGACCCAAAGCTACAGAGAAACCCTGTCTTGAAAAAAACAAAAACAAAAACAAAACAACCCAGGACCACATTTGTAGGGGTGGTACAGCCCACAGAGGAGGTCCTCACACATTAATCATTAATCAAGAAAAT